GGGGGGGGGGGGGGTGTCAGGTAACCAGAGGAGTGTGGGGACCCCACCCCTGCTCCGTGTGTGGGTGGGGACACGTGTGACCCCGTCCCTGCTCCATGTGTGTGTGGGGGGAACACGGGTGTGACCTTGTCCCCACCCTGCGTGCGTGGCGGTGTCCCCCAGTGATGCTCTGTGTGTCAGGGGGACACCGGGGATAAGGCCAGCCGTGGGGCCACGGGACCCACCATGTGCCCCCCAGGTCTCCCCCTGCTTTGGGCTCCAGTGGTAGCAGGGCCAGTGCATCCCCCAGTCCCTTCCCAGCATGCGGGGGGGTCACCTGTGGCTGTGAGATTCAGTGTCCCCTGCCCCTGGGTCCCTGGGGACGTGCCTCCTCCTGCCCCCATCCCCCGGGCAGCAGAGGGTCCCAGCGTGGGGATCGGGTGTCCTTGAGCCCCGTGGCTGCAGCTTGTCCCCCCATCCTGGGGACATCGGGGTCAAAGTGACCAGGTCCGGGTGGGACCCGGGGACGCTTTTTCCCTCTCCCTGGCCCCAAGGTGTCATCACGGACACCCAAAAATAGCCAGGAGCTCGTGTTCAGCCTCCACCCCCTGGCACCGCCTCCAAGCAGGACCTGGGGGGGGTGACAGACACCACACCCTACAGGATGGGTGTCCCCCCCTCCCCGTCTGGAACACCCCGTGGGACACAGGTCCCCAGGGAAAGACGGATGATTTATTCCCTGGACAAGTCCCTGGGGAGCCAGAGCCCCCACTCACACCCACCCCCATGGCCTGGGATGGGACATGCGCAGCCCTGGCCCCCCCCACACACCCCCAGCCTCCCTCCGGGACAACGGGACCCTGAAATATGGGTGTTCACATGTACAGGGGTCACCCACCCACAGGAGCACCCACACACACGGACACCCACACTGACAGAAACTCACCACACACACGGGTGCCTGTGCACACAGCCAGCCACATGCGTGAACACGGATGCATACGGCTGCCCATGAACATGGACACCCACCCACAGGAGCACCCATGCATGTGATCACCCACATTCACAGAGACCCACCACACACATGGGGTGCCTGTGCACACCAGCACACATCCACACCGACACCTGTGCACATGAGCGTGTCTGCACGTGGACACCCACCCGCATGGACAGCCACACTCAGGAGCACCCACGCACACGGACACCCACCCACAAAAACTCCCACTCATGGGATCACTCACACACATGGACGCCCATCACACGTATGCGTGCCCATGCACAGGAGCACCCATGCACACAGACAGCCACACATGTGTGAACATGCATGCACAGGCCTGCCCATGCACATGGACACACACACACACACACACCCACTTGCACAGACAGACACCCACCAGGCACATGGGTGCCCATGAACACCAGCACCCACCCACACACATGAACATGTATGCGCATGGCTGCCCACGGACATGAATCACAGAATCCTGGAATCATCGGGGTTGGAAACGCCCTTGAGGCTCCTCCAGCCCAACCATGAACCTCATGCTGACCGTTCCCAACTCCCCAGATCCCTCAGCGCTGGCTCAGCCCGACTCTTCAACCCCTCCAGGGATGGGGACTCCCCCCCTGCCCTTGGCAGCCCATTCCAACGCCCCACAGCCCCTTCTGCACAGAAATCCTTCCTCAGAGCCAGCCTGACCCTGCCCTGGGCAGCTTGAGGCCATTCCCTCGGGGCCTGGCGCTGGGGCCTTGGCTCCAGAGACTCATCCCCCCTCCCTGCCCCCTCCTGGCAGGGAGTTGCAGAGGGCCAGGAGGTCTCCCCTCAGCCTCCTCTGCTCCAGACTGAACCCCCCCAGTTCCCCCAGCCGCTCCCCAGCAGACCTGTGCTCCAGACCCTGCCCCAGCTCCGTTGCCCTTCTCTGGCCACGCTCGAGTCACTCAATGGCCTTTTTGGGGTGAGGGGCCCAAAACTGAACCCACTCAGCGAGGGGCGGCCTCCCCAGTGCCGAGCCCAGGGCTCAGATCCCTTCCCTGTCCCTGCTGGCCACGCCAGGGCTGACACAAGCCAGGATGCCATTGCCCTCCTTGGCCCCTGGGCACACTGCTGGCTGAACACCCATGCTTGGGAGCACGCAGACACCCACACACAGAAGCTCTCGTGCACATGGTCACCCCTGCTGACAGGACCCGCCATGTACACGTGTGTCCGTGCACACCAGCACCCACGCACACAGACACCCACCCACAGGAGCACCCACGTGCAGGGACAGCCCTGCTGACAGACACCCACAGGGCACACGGGTGCCCCTGCACACCCGCACACCCGCACACAGACACGCACGCACACGGTTGCCCACCCGCTGACACCCACCCACGGGCTCACCCCTGAGCACGGCCCCCCGCGCACTGACACCCGCATGTACAGCACCCACACACAGGGATGCCCATACGTGTGGGTGCTCCCTGCACAGAGGCACCCACACGCGTGGGTGCCCACACACACGCGACGCTCCGCCAGGGCCGGGGCTGGTCTCCACACCAAGGGCTGGGCAGCGGGTGGCCTGGCCCAAGAGCCTGGCGGTGGCCAGGGCCACCCTGGGGTGCTGGGGGTGGGTGCTGCTGGGCAGGGTGGCCCCTCGTGTGGCCACCACCCGCGCTGTGGCCAGAGTGGGCCGGGCTTTGGGATTTATCTGCTGGTCCCACAGCGACAGCTATAGGCGATCATCCGGGATGGAGCAGGGTCTGGCACAGCGGGCAACCACTGCCCAGCTCTGGCCACCCTGGGCCCGGGCAACGAGCCCCTGGCCTGGGTGGGATCCGGGCAGCCCAAGTCCTTCCTGGCCTCTCGCCTCCCCCAGCCCCTCTGTGCCCGGGCAGAGGGTCCCCGTCCCACCCGCGAGCAGAAGTTTTGGGGAGCACGGTCAGAGCCTGGGAAAGCCTGACTCCATTTTGTGCACATCCCCAAAGCGCCTCCGACCCCGTTTGCTGCGGCTTCCCCGCCCTGAGCTTTCCCCAGGGACACGGGGGGGATCCCAGGGCTGTGGGAGGGGAGCAGACATGGAGACCCATGGGTGGCCCCGGCACACGGGGCTGGGGATGCCCAAAACAGCATCACCCTGCTCATCCCCTCCAAAATCACCGGCACCCTCCTGGCCCCAGGAGCTGAGACCCCCGGGGCAGGGACCACCCTGGGGGCTCCACTCCTCAGTGGGACCCCCCAGCAAGGTGCTGGCTGCTGGGGGGGGCTTTGCTTAAGGGCTGGGGGGGTGTCGGTGTTGTGCAGTGCTTCCCCCCCACTCTCCTTGACAAAGGCTGTTGCCTCCCCTAGGAAGAAAGGCCAGGAGACAGAGGTGGTACCCAAAACATCACAGTGAACACCACACTCAGCTAGAAACACCCGCGGGCTGCTCCTGCGACGAGGAGAAAGGCCCCCCCCCCGGCAAACCCCTGTGCTCGGCTCTGCCAAATGCCCCAGAAGAAAAAATATTCCTCCCCCCTGAGGAGGCAAAAAAATCTGCCCCTCGGGTCCTCGCCCAGGGCGTGGGTGGGAATCGCCCCTTCGTAACGGCAGGGCCCCAGGCGATGCTCCCCCCATGGCGGGGGGGGATGACGCCCGACGGTCTCGCCGCGGTAGCACCGAGGAAAACCCAGCGGACTCTGGCTGTGCCAGGAAAGCTGGGCTGATGCTCCGCAGCCTCCTCTTTCCTCCGCTGGTCAGCAATGTCCCCCCCGGAGTGGGGTTAGGACGTGTCCTTCAGCTCGGGGCTGGGGGGCTGCGGAGGGGGCACCTCCGCCGAGGGCGACTGCATCTCCTGGGCGCTGCCTGCGAGTAGAGACGAGGGTATGAGCAACCCCGGTTCATGCTCACCCCACGTTGCCCTCCACCTTCCCCACCACCTACCTGCGTTCAGGGACATCTCGGCCAGCTTGAGGGGCAGGTCGGAGGGGCTGACGCCGGCCGGCGAGCCCAGGATGTCGGGCAGGGCATTGCGCCGGCCTGTTCTCCCGGAGGATGCGAAGTCCAGCACGGGTTCCACCTCGGTCATGCTAACCCTGGAGACACACGGTCCCCCCCCTCGCCGTCAGTCCCTCTGAGCATGCAGGGCGAAGGGGACCTGGCTCTGGTCCAGGCAGGATGCTCTGGTGAGCAGGGCTGAGCCCTCTGCAACCCCCTCTGCCCACCCTGACTGCAGGCTCTCCAGGAGCAAAGGCCACCCTGCCCACGGGACAGCCCCATCCCCAGGGTTGGCACCTCTGGGTGCTGTGAGCTCTGCTGGTCACTGAATCGTGGAGGAAGGGGTGTCCTCAGGGGTCCCACCAGCACTCCCCACCCCCAACAGCCTTACCGGGCACCCTCCAGCCTGGCCTGGCACTGCGTCTCCCCCGTGCCCAGGGTCCCACTCCACTCCCTGGCTTGGTGGTTCCCCCTCCCGGCGTCTCCCAGCCAGTGAGGGACCCCAGGAGAGATGGGGACTCCTGGCTGGGTCCCCTCTGGCTCCGACCTGGGGGGAGGCAGAGCAGGGGTTCAGCAATGGGGCTGGTGCCAACGGGGTGTGAGGAGGGAGCAGGGGGTGGGAGAAGCTGTGTCCCCATGCTGGGCACCCATAGCACCCAGCACCCTCCTCCCTGGGTGGCTACACCAAGCTGGGCTGTGAAGGGCAGAGACCCCACCTCATCCCCGGTGGGCAGTGGTGGGCAGGCAGGAGGAGGGGATGGCATTGAGAGACGGGTGCAGGGGTGGGGACATGGAGGTGACACCCAGCTGGGAGGTGGGACAGCAAGGGAGGTGGAGAGGGCACAGCGGGACCAGCTGCAGTGCCAAGGACAAGGGCACATCGTCCCCAACCTGGGAACCCCACCATGTCCCTTGGAGAGCGGCTCTTGCTGAGCCAGGGCAGGCAGTGGCGATGCTGTGGTCCCCTCGAGCTGGGGGGGGCTCTCCCGGGAAGCCCCCAGCACTGGGCACCGTGCAGATCCCGCTGGTATGGAGCAAGCCCTGGCACACGGTGCCTTTGGGACCCTGCCGGGGTGTTTGCTCAGTGCTGGTAAATGGTTCTGACTTTTGCAGAAGGGTTTTGCAGCTGCAGGTGGGGGGGTGGCACAGAATTTTGCAGGGACAGGGTGACCTCCACCCTCCCCAAACCCCCTCTACCCACTCGTGGGGCGTAGGGACCCCCAAGCCATCACCCCAGCAGCCCCGTCCCCTCCAGGCTGGATGCTAGTGGCAATGCTGGGACTAGTGTCCCCAGACTGGTGGCAGTGGGAGCTTGTCCTGTTGTGGGGGGCATGAACTCACCAGCGTCCCCCTGGGAATCCCTCTCCAGCCAACGACGAGCCAAGGTCCCCGAGTCCTTGGGCACAGGCACCGGGCTGAGCGAGACGAGTGACCCCGGCTACGAGGAGGAGGAGGAGGAGAAATGAATCATTAACTTGGGAGGTGATTAGTCACGGGGTGGCTGCCCCATGCGGGGCAGGACCCAGGCCCTTTTCAGGGGGGGGAAACTGAGGCACAGAGCGAGGCTTGGATGTGTGACAAGGGCAGGTCGGTGGCCCCATGAGCTGAGGCTGTGCTGTGGCAAAGACACATCGGAGGAGCGATGCTATGGCACTCTGGAGCTGCATGTGTTTGCGTGTGTGTTGGCACATGTGTGCGCATTGGCACACGTGTGTGCATGTTTGCATGCATCACCTCCGGCTGGGCTGTTGCATGTGAGTGCACATGTACATGCACCTGGAGCTGAGCTGAGTGTGCGTGCATGATGCCCTCTGGTACACGTGTGCATGCATGGTGTCCCACGGCACACCTATGTGCATGCTTGGCATCCCCTGGCACATGTATGTACATTCATGGTGCATTGTAGCTCATGTATGTGCATTCATGGTGCATTACAGCACATGTATGTGCATTCATGGCACCCCTGGCACATATGTGTACGTGCATGGTGCATTATAGCACATGCATGTGCATTCATGGCACCCTTTGACATGTGTGTGTACATGTATGGTGCATTATAGCACATGCATGTGCATTCATGCCACCCCCAGCACGAGTGTACATGCGTGGCACCCTCTGACACCCCTGTCTGCATGCCGTGGGTCCTGGATGCTTGCCAGCACATGTATGCACGCCCATGGCAGCGCGAGGGCTCCTGCCAGCTCCCATTAGTGCCGGAGCTGCGTCACCTCCAGGTCACAGAGTTTCTCATCACACGCCACATGTTCAAGTCCCTCATCCAGCACCGAGCACCCCACAGCAATGTCTGCTGGCCCGGCGGGGGCCCTTGGCCCCACGGCCCCTGCTCCAGGCACCAGGACATGGGTGGGTGGCGTGAGGCATCTGTGATGGCACCGGAGCACCCTGGCACCCATTTGCAACCATTTGCTCTGCAGAGAGACCTGCCCAGGCTGGAGTGATGGGCTGAGCCTAACTGGGGGAGTTTCACTGAGGGCAAATGCCGGGGGCTGCCCTTGGGCCACAACAACCCCCAGGGGGGCTACAGGCCTGGGGAGGGGCGGCTGGAGAGCTGCCAGTCAGAGAGGGACTGGGGGGGTGAGAATGAGCCAGAGTGTGCCCAGGGGGGCAAGAAGGCCAATGGCATCCTGGCTTGTGTCAGCCCTGGCGTGGCCAGCAGGGACAGGGAAGGGATCTGAGCCCTGGGCTCGGCACTGGGGAGGCCGCCCCTCACTGAGTGGGTTCGGTTTTGGGCCCCTCACCCCAGAAAGGCCATTGAATGACTCGAGCGTGGCCAGAGAAGGCCCCGAGGGAATGGCCTCAAGCTGCCCAGGGCAGGGTCAGGCTGGCTCTGAGGAAGGATTTCTGTGCAGAAGGGGCTGTTGGGCGTTGGAATGGGCTGCCCAGGGCAGGGGGGGAGTCCCCATCCCTGGAGGGGTTGAAGAGTCGGGCTGAGCCAGCGCTGAGGGATCTGGGGGAGTTGGGAACGGTCAGGGTGAGGGTCATGGTTGGCTGGAGGAGCTTCAAGGGCGTTTCCAACCCAGATGATTCTTGGATTCTGTGAGCCGGGAGTCACACGCCTGCTGCGCATGATGCACAAGCACATGCATGTACACGTTCACCCACACACACATGTGCACAGTCATGCACACACACATGGAAGCACACAGATGCCCACGAGCAGGCATGCATACAAGGGTCCACGCACAGGCGCAGGTGTGCAGGCACGTTTGCTTAGACACATGACTGCAGGCGTGCACACACTCCACACGGACAGACTGCACATCCAGCAAGACAGCAGCCCTGCAGGGCTGGTTCACAGCTGCTTCCCAGCAGCCCCAAGAGCTCCTGCTGGCTCCAGTGCTGGAGAAGCAAGCAAAGAACAGCCGTCAGGACCGGGCTGGACCCTGCCCAGCTCCTTCCTGCAGCTCAGCACCTCCAGGACTAGCCCAGGATGGGGTGCCCAGGACATGGGCAGGGGTTGCACCCCGTGTGTGCTCACCCAGCACACCGAAAAGGTGAGCAGAGAGATCAGGACTTTCATGCTGGCACAGACAGAAGAGCCACCAGGACCCTGGAAGGCACCAAAACCCCTGGGGTGTTGTCACGGGAGGGGGCAAGCCTGAGCACTACTGGGTGCAGCATCACTGTCACGGGGAGCCGTTCGGGCTGTCCCCCTCGTACCTCTGGGCTCCCTTGGGAGCAAGGTCCAAAGTGCCAATACCTGCACCATGCCAAGCCCTGCTGCATCCTCCTGGTCCCACAAGCAGCAAATACAAACCCAATTCCGGGCAAATAACGTTTCATAAACCCTGGGCCTCCGCCCAGTGAGCAGGGATTTCCCCCTCTAAGCAGGGACTGTTTCTGGGAGGCTTAATATGGTCTCAACTTAAAAGCTTCTGGAGTCACATAGAAGGTCCCTGGGGCTGCTGGCTCCTGCTTTAATGCTCCTAATGGGATATGGGAGGGTAGGGCAGAAATAAACCTTAATCACTCCTGGAGATGGGCTGCGGTGGAAGATACTGGGAAGAGGTGGAGGGAGGACATGGTGCTGGGAAGTCAAGTCCCTCAGGAATCGAGCCAGCCCCACCACGGCAGAAGCTGAGTCTTGCACAGAGGCATCAGGAGAGCAGAAAATGTCCTACAAGGCCATTTCCAGGCTGGGATGTCACCAAACCTTGGGCATCTTCATGCAACACAAAATTGTCCCAAGAAGAGCCCCTCCTCAGGTCTCCGACCTCGTGGTGCCGCTGAGCTCTGATGCTCTTGTGTCATGTGGGTGAGAACTGTGGGCACACGCTGAGCTGCTTGGTAGGGGCTGGGGATGCTCAGTAGCATAATTTGGCTGCATTAAAGCACAATAGAGGAAGGAGAAGATCTGGCTGAAGGCCAGTGAGTGAAATGCAAAGTAATCACGAGATGAAAGAGAAGTGAGATTTTGCCACCCCATGGCAGCCGGGATGTGCCGCTGCCCACCATGTGCTGCAGATCCCTGCCCTATGCCCACTGCCAAGGCTGCCCGGGCAGCTTCTGCAGGATCAGACCTTGCCTCTGGCATCCAAGCTCCCTGCGGGATGTTCTGCTGCAGGAGACATCTCCTAAGCCCCATTTTGGGTGCTGTCCCACTGCCTGCTTTTGACAAACCCCAAGGCTGGAGCGGCCGAGGGAGCTCCTGTACCTGCAGGCAGTGGAAAGAAGGGCTCCTGCCCCAGTCCCTGCTCCCAGCTCACCTGGTTTCTGCTCCAAACCTCCTCATCCAACCCCCAAAAAGCCAAAATCCATGGCTTGTGAAGGAGGTGCTACAGCTGGACACCTCTGCTGAGACCCAGACACCAGCCCTGGGAGGGAGAGTGGTTGGGGTGAGGAGCATCCAACCTCCTCTTCCTTCTCCTTCCTCATCATCCTTCTCTCCCAGCCCTGGGCCAGGGAAGCTGCAGGATGGACCCAGCCGAGGGACTGACCTGGCTTGGAAACAGCCAGCCCTTTCCCTACCACCTGCAGGCAGTGATGCCAGACACAGGCAGTGACGGGCAGGGACACACTCTGGCCACCCTGGGCCAGACCTGGGCTTTGCCCTCGATGGGAGAAAACCAGCCAAGGGTGTCAGGAGGAGCTCGGGCCTGTCCTGCGGATGGACAGCAGGGTTTGGTGGTGGATGTCTTCCCTCTGACCTGGCATTATTCCTGCCTGAAGGTTTGACCTAATCTCCCATTTCCCTGGATATAAAAGCCCTGGAGGAAGGAAGATGCTGAATGGGCAGAGGAAGGTGTGAGAGCAGCCAAAGAGACTGAGGGTTCAGCTCAGGGTCAGACACCTCCATGGGCAGCATGACCATGAATCCTCCCCAGTGACGGGGGCAGAGATGTCCCCTCTAACACAACAATTTGGGGTACCAGGGGGTGGGAGGAAGCAGACCACGCTCGTGGTCTCACCTAAAATAGCATCCATGGCTGCTGCTGGAGCCAGCGCCCAGAGCATGGGAGGCCACAGGACATCTCGTGGTCCTCACCGTGGTCACACCATTCCCCCTCCCAGGGCACATCAACCAGACATGCTCTGGGATGTTTAAGACCGGGGAGATGTTGCAACAAGGGCTGTAAAATTCCATTAAGGATTCATTTAACCATAGGCACAAGGATTTGCTTTTTCAGCTTAGAAGTGGTTGATGGGTTGTTAGCTAATTTGGAAGTGTGGGTTTGGACCATTTAATGTTCTTGTCTTTATAAGGGGGTTCTTCATGCTCATTTAAATCGATGTGTCTGTGTCATGCCCCGCTGATGACAGGCTGGGAAGTGCTGCAGCCCAGCGCAAGCCCTCTGAAAATCCACTGGCAACCCCACGACATTGATGTTATTAAGAGACGACAAAAGTGATGAAAAATGAGAAGGATTTACCAAAGCATAACTATAACGTTGAATTAAATGAGCATTGCAAGCTGGGAAGGAAAGAGCTGCCCTGGATCAGAAAAGGATGAGAGCATCATCCAGGAAAATCAACGATGAGTCCTCATGGGAGGAAAATCCAACGGGACTGATTTAACCGGAGACCAACCACCACCAGACAGACCAAGCAGCCCCTGGAGCCTGGAACAGCAGATGGCAATAATTAAACACAGGATAAAATCTGGAGAGCTGAGAGATCTCCCACAGAGGCAGCAGGTTTGGTCCCAGTGGTTTCGTCTCGAGGGACATGGCTGTAGGCAGCAGCATTCCTGCCTGATGTAGCGGCAGCGCTGACGGTGCCGGAGCCCAGGAAATGCTGAGCAGGCACTCGCTGCCACGTAGAAATGGGCTTCATCAGCTGTCAGCAGCCCATAAACAGCTCCCAGGATCCAAGTGAGAGGGAAGGATGGGCATAAATATCGTCCCAAACTCATCATCTCCAGGGCGGGGGGAGAAAATGAGAGGGGAAAAGGCTCCAGCGGTGTTGGTTGGTGCCGGAATATTTAACATGAAGATGCAGAGCCACACAGAGAACAGGTTTTGCTTCAAGCCCAGAGCACAGGAAAGTCTCAACCCAAGTGCCTCGAGAAGATGATCCCTCCTGGAGGCGATGCTGGGAGGGAAGCAGCTGCCAGGGCCTGCCCGCGGGGAGATGCTGGTACCCCGCTGCCTGCCCTCGGCAGTGAAACTTTTCCAACCATGGACCAGCACTTCTGTCCCTAAATGACCATGTTTCCAGGCAGGCTGGGAAGGTGCCTGGTCCAGCTCGGATCCTGCCCGGCACCTTTCGAGTGACAGTGACACAGCACAGAGTGAAGCAGCTCAGAGACCCCAGCGAACCTGTTCCCGGATGCTGAGAGCATCACTGAGTTCTCACACTATTTTTTCTCCCATTTTTCCCTGCCTTCTCCTCGCTGTGCAGCCTCAGCTCCTCCCCAGTGCTGTGAGGAATCATTCCAGCAGGTTTTCAGAGAGGAGCTTACACTGGCAGCTCCCCAGATCCGTGTCCCAGCCTGAGAAGGTCCAGCACATCCCAGTACCCATGGGGCTGGCCCCTCCACTTTCCAGCAAACACCATTGCCCAGAAGGCATCCAACACATGGGCTCCCACCGCCTCCCCTCACTGCTGAGCAGCGGATCTTCCTCATTAGACTAATGTACTTACAGCACTAATTCTCGTTACCCTCTAAACCCCTTCCCATTTTGTCCTGCTTTGCACTTTGACCTCCCTCCCTGCTCTTGCTGTTGCACACCCAGCCTCGCAGCCTGACCTGCTTTCTGTCTTCTCCACGGTTTCTGCTCATGCTTGGATTGCCACGTCCATTGGTTTGGGGCACGTTGAAGTGTCTCTTCCATCCCTCCACCACCCTAACATCCCTCTTCTCCCCTTCCCCTGCTCCCTTCCCAGTCCCAATCACTGCCCTCCAGGTGGGCAGGACCACATCTACGCCCAGTCCCATCCCTGCTCATACCCAGTCCTGAATTATTCCACCTCAGTCCTGACTTATTCCACCCAAA